CTTCGCCTTGCGTAACTAAACAGAACGGTGCGTGCCTTAACGAACACGGAATATTTTAATATGTTCGTTATTTACGCGTAAATGAGTTAGAATCCGAGAGCGGCAGTGGAATTGTTCCGCGAACAGTATTCCGATCGGAGCTAAGAATTAAAATGAAAACGTGTATACAAATTTTCAATTGCAAAGTGCAATGTGACAGTGGATTTGTAAAATGAAAAGTGGCAGTGAATTTGGGAAGTGTAAAAGTGACAATTTTTGTTTTGTAAAAATTTGCCAGTGGGAAAGTGACAATGATCGTGATGATAAGGAAAAAATCGTCGGGTGCAGGTCATTGACTTACTCCAAACATCAGCTGCTGCGAGCCATGTGTCCTATCTTCGAATGCCGAAGGTCGACCCATTGACCCATTGACGATCTTCGACGAGCAGATGCACTGACCAACGAAGAAGTAAGTTCAATTCTGATTTTTTTCGCATTTTTCATAATTTTACGTACTCTGTAATTTGTAAATTTCTTAGTTATTTCATTCAGTATGTTACTTTCGTTCAGTGAACGTAAGTAACGACTAATCCCTTTCTTTCTTTTGATATTTAACCAATTTGTTAGTTCGTTTTTGCATGCAACATTTCTTTAATCCTATGCTCTCGTCACGAGCGCGACATACGGGCGCGGCAACGCACGAGGCGGTTATCGCGCTCCTGCCCGCCTTGTATACTCGCGCTCTGATTGGGCGGGGATTTTTGTTAATAACTCAATAACCACGCCTCGGACAACTTTTTCGCAAAGGAAAAAGTTGTTTAAAATCATCTCAGCTCCTCCTCATTTTCGGGCGTAAAGGGAGTTCTGGGACACCCTGTATGTATATTAAAATATGCTTAAGTGTGCATTAAGAAATAATAAGATTTATAGAACGAAGCGTAATGTATGTTTTATTTTTTTTTTGTTACAGGGATTTTATCCTGGTTGCTCCAAAAATATTCCGTGGCCGCGTGCAATGCGGTTGGTAGAACCAGTGCTTATCGTAATACCTTCTAGTTGAATTCAATTACGTTACAAACATGTGGTTTTGTAATTCACTTTTCTGATCATTAGTATATTTTATTAGATATAGAGGTTCAGACATTTATAATTATTATATATGTATAGAGATTTA